GTCAAACTATTTACTAAGTCTGCATTACTATTACTATTAATCTTCTCATCGTTCCTATCACCAGTCTCCTTCCACTATGACTATATGACTGTAACTTTGTTGCTTGTATTCTTACATTCTTATATTGATTGTTTCCTAGTATATTTGATTGCTTACTTGTACCCTATGACTATCATTAAGTATTGTACCTTATGATTCATGACAAAAGCATCTTTTCCTTTATTATACACTGAGAGCAAATGCACCAAAGACAAATTCCTTGTGTGCCCAATCACACTAGTCCAATAAAGAATTGTATTCTGTTCTGTTCTATTCTATTCTTCTTTTAGGCATGACTTAGAGGAAATTCTTAATTCCACTGATTGACACCTTTCCTTTTTTTCTGTGTTTTCCTAGCTGCTGAATTCAGAATGAAGGGGAAATTAATGCTCTTGCTGCTGTTTCTCCAGAGACTAAGATTTTTCATCAATAAATGTTCCAATTACAGGTGGGCTACTTTTCACTTTCTGCCTGAATTGTTATCAAGTAGAAGAATGTTGCGCACAATTGGATAAGTAGGTCAGGTCTGAATATCACTGAACCTAACTGAATATAATTAGGCATTTTTCTTGCCATTGTTTTCAGAACTTGTGCTTCTGATATTTTCATACACTCTGTTTTTTAAAAAAATTCTGTTGTGCTTAAGAATTCATCCTGAGAATGCGTATCTCGCCCATCACCCAATAGAATGATGAGAGTGAAAGAGATTTGCTGGCAGGAGCAACGGCTCCTTCTGTGCCATGTTCCAGAACAGGTGATATCTCCCTGGCCTAGCAGGCAGTCCTCTCACAAAGACACAGTTTCACGCAATGTAGTTAAAAAGGGAAAGACAAGCTTTCATCCAAGTCTTTGCTTCTGCATTTTTCATTAACATCACATATTAATATTTTATCCATGGTGGTGAGGTGGGAAAAGGGATTATGTAGTGGACAAAACGTGTGTCTCAAAATAGAATATTTTTACCTTGCGCAACGGAGAAACTTGGAGTTAAATTAAATATTTAGAAACACGGAAAACAAAGGGAGCTGTAAAAAGCTGCAATTTTTCATGTCACCTCCTGCTGCTGTGCCAAAAAAAGCTCCTACACCCATCAGTCAGCAAAATCCTTTAATTGACTTTTCCTAGTTGTTCATTTATATCCAAGAGCTGCAGGAATCCTGGCAAGAGGCTAGTAGCAATTTGGAATGCAGACGTTCACTTGCTAATGCTGATGCTCCAGATTCTATTCTAAAGCTATGAATATGAACGCAAAGACATGCAAAGCAACTGAAGCATCATATAGCCAAAAATGAAACTGTGAACGAGGCGGTCCTACGTCAAGCTCAGATGCAGCAAGAATTCCCTGTTGGCCCATTGCAACCTGCCAAGGTTGAATGATGGAAGCATATATTCCTCAATATCTATCTGATTTTGCATGCCAGAATTTTGAATTGCAGGTAGTCCTCCATTTACAACCACAATTGCGCCCCAAATTTCTGTTGTGAAGTGAGTTTTCTTGCCACTATTGTTAAGTCAGTCACTGCAGTTGTTAAGTTAGTAACCTGGTTGTTAAGTGAATCCGGCTTCCCATTAACTTCACTTATCAAAAAGTCATAAAAGGTGATCACATGACCCCGGCACACAGCAACTGTCATAAGTATGAGCTAGTTGCCAAACATCTGAATTTTTATCACATGAACATGGGGATCATACAAAAGTTGTTGTCAGGAGTCCAAATAGCATCCAAAAGTAAATCAGAGTCCAAGGCAAAGTATTGCTCAAAGTTCCAATTTATTAAGANCTGCATTAGCACATCATTTAGAATCTTTTGAAGACTTGGAAGCAGCATTTAAAACCACAGGAAAGACAAGCAAGACAATCATATCCCAGACCAGATGAACATAGAAACAGAACCAACTCAAAGCAGAGAACATAGCAGCCAAACAAAACCAATACCCTGTTTGCAGCAGACTAAGATCAATCCATAGTTATTATAGACATAACACAATAATACCAAAAACCAAAGAATTACTGGAGGACAAACAAATGTGCATTCCAGTAAACAAGAACCCAATACAGAAACTGGACAACCTGATGCAGAGAAGCCTTAATGGTGCAGACAACCCAAGAAAGATCAAATCACAAAAGAAGGATACTAGCAGATGAAAAGCAGTGGACACAAGCCTCAACATTCCTGTACATCCAGGTGTATCACTACCATAGACTCCAACTTGCAACATAGCCAAAGAATTTATTTTAAAAAAAACATGGAGAACTTATAACAGGGGAATGACTATTCTACCAACTCTCCAGTAAAGTGCGACCTGAAAATCAAAGAACTATACACGGATGTGAAATTATGATTTCATTAATGTCACAATACTCTTTACATCCATAGCTCCAGAACTAATGAAAGAATCCACGGGCAGCAGTATTACACAATACACCCAACCAAGTCAAATATATTAAGATCAAAATAACCAGAATCAGGGATCTCATTAATCTCTACCTCACAACCTCCTTTCAGTTTGATAGATAAATACACTGACAGTCAGAGGAAAACCCATGAAACGAGCACTTTCCAGACTCATAGCAGATACAATAATGCAGCAACCAGAAACTATGGCACTCCCACACATACAACCGAAAGTATGAATCTTGTATGTAGATAATACCCTTGTCATAATAAAAAGGAGCCACAAGAAAAGACGTGAAAATATCAATATCTTCACAGAAATAAAATTCACAAGAGAAGAAGAAAACAAAATACTATCCATCCTGAATATCCAGCAGTGGAAACGATAGCAAAATAGAAATGCAAGTCTATTTTTAAAAAAATATCCAAAACTGTTAAAACTAATCTACTTTTTCTTTATTATACTAAATAAAACATAATGTGAAAGCCTCAGCTAACTAAAGGCACAATTGACCCATCTGTTGACAGGAGCACAATGCATGGAAGATTTCAGCTTGGGATGTAAAAGAAGAAAATGCTAAAAAGGATGGCATTTAAAAAAGCAAAGTAGATAGTAGGGGGTGGACTGAAAACAGCGGAAAGGAAAAAATAAAATAGACCTGATTTTGTGGAGTGGAGTTAATGAACATATGCAAGGAAGTGAAGGTGTCAATTTACTGTAACAATGAATGAACAAGATGTGTGTCATAAAGTATGGGTTGGCATCATCTAGAAGTTTATGAGCATAAGAGTGAAGAGAATCAAAAAAATTTGAGGAAATATGCAATGTTCTGAATCCATATGACCCATTGGAGACATTTATTCTTTAGGTGACATGAATAAGAGGGTGAGAACAAAGTGATTGAGCTATGGGATGTTTATAGCTGAAAGCTGCCTGTCTTGGCAAAATGAACAGACTATTTCCTGAGTAAAATATTGCTGCATAGTTCTTTCACAAGGAAGTCTTAGTAAAAGTCTGGGTGAAGAGGCTACCAATTTAGATATCCCTTTAGGTATAGCAGTAATGGCATTTCAATGGCACCAGAAGCCATTTGGGATGAAACCTACAAGTATCTGGGCATTTTACAGTTGGATAATACCAAGTATGGACAAGTTAATAGAGTGAGAAAAGCAGATAACAACAAGCCCTGGCAATGGCTAAGAGGAAGAAAATTGAAGAAAAAGACAGAGGGGTTAATTCTGGCTGGATAGGATTAAACCTTAAGAAAAATACATACAAAGCCAGAATTGAGAAGACAGCAACAGACAGAATATGCTGCTTCTGCAAAGAAACTGAAGAAACAGTAGAGCACCTAGTCAGTTGCTGCAAGAAAATCATACAAATTGATTACAAACAATGGCATGACAAAGTAGCAACAATAGTGTATTGGAAAATCTGCATGCAGGAACTAGAAGGACCACAAAATAGGGAGAGTAATATAAAATGAAGAAGCTCAAGTGCTTTGGGACTTTAGAATTTAAACAGAAAAGTATGTGCTACATAATACCCAAGACTTAATAATTATCAATAAGAAAGATAAAAATGTCTGGATGGTGGACATGGCAATACATGGCCTAGAAACAGCAGAATTGAAGAGAAAGAACTGGGGAAAAATACAAAAACCTGCAAATAGAAATAGAACAAATAGAAAATAAAGATAGTACCAATAGTAATAGGTGCCTTGGGTGCCATCCCAAAACAACTAGAGCACCATTTGAACACTATCAGCATTGACAAAATCACCATCAAATCAAAAGTCAGCTTTACTTGAAACAGCTTACTTCTTGCGACGATACCTTTAACACCATCAAACAACATCTGCCTATCCTAGGTCCTTAGAAAGGACTTCATTGGTAGACAATAATGTCAACTCTAGTCTAAACATCTGGCTAACTTTGTGATCAATCATAATAGCAATAATGACAATGTCTTTCCTAATATGGAGACTTCCAGATGTAGTTAATGAAAACACCCTTCAGTATGTCTGGAAGGCACCATTTATTGATGTTTTTTTTAAATTTTAAGGTCACCTAAGGCATTTAAATCATCAAGTTATAAGGAACTAGTGTCAAACTAAGCTTTCTTCGTGGGTACAATGACTTTCAGTTGGCAAAATGTCTGTGGAGATTCTCAGTCATCCAGGTCATGGTTCTCCCAAAGATTATTTTTCAAGAGTCAACTGGACTTTCTTGTTTTTTCTTTTTGCTTCTCATCGAAGAAGCTTCTTCAGTTCTGATTGGATGGTGGGTAATGGAAGGATTTATACTTCTTGCAGACAGCTGGTCATTTGCATTCTTTTAGTGAGTCGTTAAGGCCACCCGAATGGTGCAAATGAGTATGGAGCCTTCTTGAAACTGTTGAAAGAACTGTGCTGTAGACTGGAGATAGATGATGTTGTATCCCTCCCTCTCTATTGAAAGAGGGATGTTTAATTTTGACATAGATGGCTTCTTTGACCTGACCCCTCTTTCAAGTAAGTGGTCCTCTTTGTCCAAAATGTGGACTTTGCTGTCTTCAAAAGAGTGGCCTCTGTCTTTTAAATGCAGATGGACTGCTGAATCTTCCCCTGATGGATTTGTTCTCCTATGTTGTGCCATGCATTTAAGTATTTTTTTTGTTTTCCCAATGTGCAGGTGTGCACACGTCTCACTGCATTGTACTGCATATACCACATTCAGACTTTCAATTAGCAACTTGGCTAATTTCTCAGACCTAAAGCCATTAGGAATGGTTGAACCATAGTGCTGAAAAGAATATGCATATCCTTAATAATCTGCCTAAAGAGTGTCAAAGAGTTCAAAGCTCTTGAAATCAAACTTTGCCAATCCATCTGTTATGAAAATGGATAGCATTTCAAAAGAAGTGCATATAGAGGAGTGGAGCTTCAGACAAGCTATTCTGAAACAGAGATATATGACTATTGGTATTGTGGACTTCTACAAGTTCTTTCACAAGAAAGTTTTCCAAGGTGAGTCTCTACATGTTATGTTAAGTGATCAGGGTTTTTTCCCCTTGTTAATGAAGGCAGACAAAGCAGTTTTATATTAAGACTCACTTTGCAAGCAGTTATGTCAATGACATCAGATCCAATGGTGACATTCTGGTCTCTACTGCTGATGAAGCAGCCAAGATGAAGGATTTCAGAAATAATCACACATGAAGTTAATTACATGGAGTAATGTTGCCCAGTGTGACCCAAATAAAAACAATTCAATTTCAATTCATTTTTCGTAATAATAATGATTCGATTAGTATTTGATGATTTAACTTTAATCATTATACCCTCTTGACCAATATGGCAATCAAATGGTTTCTTAATAATGAAGCTTCAGTTAGTGAATATTCAGGTTCAAATGAATGTGTTTCCATTATGTCCTCCATTTTCCTGGAAAAGTTCTCCTTTTAATGAATGAGAATAGCAATGCTGTCAAGTGACACAATTTGATATATTTTATTCATACAAGCACTGTCTTGCAAAAGAATAGCTAAGATGAGTTAATAAATCTGATGGATTATGTCATACTAAAAGAGCAAGAAAATAACTTCTGTGCTCAGGAACTTGAACATTAGTAAAATGTAAAAGGATTTGTATCACCTTCATCACCACTTTTTCATAGTGTGTCTGAATACATTCATCTTCCTTAAACTCCTAAAATAGATGTGGGAAACTATAAGACCTCCAAAAGTTGTTGAACCACAGTTCAATTCTCTCAAATGATTACCAAATTTGCTCTCTATGATTAATGAGAAATGTACTACATTGAAAAGTCATGATTTCCCTATCTTAACACTAAAAATAGGCTACTCCAATAGACGTAAATCCAGTGGTGCAATTCAGCCAGTTCGCACCACTTCGGGAGAATCGGTTGTTAACTTTCTAAGCAGTTTAGTAAACTGATTGTTGGAAGAAATCATTAGGGCAGAGAACTGGTTGTTAAATTATTTGAATCCCACCACTGTGTAAACCCTCACTTTAATGTTAGAAATCTAACATCAAACTATTAAATTAAATTGAGGGTTTATTGTGCTGAGGTCTTTTTTTCAGTCGTCATAGCAACACAGAAA